AATATTATTCAAATTATATGAATCCTAAATTACCATATGGAATTTTGCAGTGGTGCCGCAATAATCTATTAGAATAACATGTCAAAAACCTCTTCGCACCCACAAGCCAAGAATCTTTGTTATAATAGAACCTAGAAATAGCGGTGGAGGATTATGTTATTAATTAGAATGGGTAAGTGGAATTTTGTGAGAACAGAGTCTTGGGGTTTCTCCGGGGGAATTTGGATCCTTTGGAGAAGCCACACTAACCTTCAAGTGATCCATCCCTATCATCAATCTCTACACTGCCAGATTAAAGATAACAACATTGAGTGGGGCTCTCCTGCTATGTATGCCAACCTTAATGAAAAACATAGGAGGATGTTATGGATTAACCTTAAGGACTTCTCCATCAATATTAGAATCCTGTGGCTTGTTGCTGGCAATTCTAACGATATTACAACTATGGATGACCAGTTTGGTGGTGCCTGTGCATATGTTAGGAGGCCCCAAAAATTGTACTCCAAATCAGTTCTTGTGGACTCATAGATTGGGGTTTCAGGGGTCCATGCTTTACCTGAACTACAGGTGCTACTAATCAGATTAGACAAAGCTTACTCCAATGACTTAGCATGTATCCTTTTCTCTAAACGAGAGATCCATAATCTTGCTAGACGTTTTTGCGTATCCTTTTCTCTAAAGGAGAGGTCCATAATCTTGCTAGATGTTTTTTGGACACTGCCCTATAATGATTACTCTTGAGATGGAATATCAACCCACAATCCATAGGAGACCTCCAAGATTTGAAGCTGTTGGGAGACCCACCCTGATTTTAAAAGCTTTTTGGCTCAAACTTGGGAGAACAATGATAATATGGGCTGTAGTATTCTTAAGTTCCTAGAGAAAGCTGAGATAGGAATCGAGATTCATTCGAGCATATCATTAGGACCAAGACCCGTCTTTAAAAAAGAAAGTGGAGGACCAAATATGTTGGCTTGGAATACTGTCCGCTCCCCCAAGAATGAGACAGGTCACCGAGGCTATTGAGGCCAAGAGGATTCCTAGTAGGGAAGTTGTGAATCTTGGGGAAGGGGGTTCAGTTGCATTCTCTTCCCAAGTTCAGGATTTTATAATAGCTTAAGATTGCCTGCTTCATGTTATCAAGATCCTCAATCCAAGAATGTGGGTTGGCTTGGAATACGAGATATGTTGGATCAAAATAATACATTTATTATGAAATTAGGATGGAGACTCCATACTAAGAAAGAGAGTCTACGGGTTCAAGTTTTCTCAAAGTCAAATACTTTCCTAGTGTAGAGCCCCTTGATCTAGTCAATCCTCCCCATCGCGCCTTGCAAACCAGACAGAATCTTTTTAAACATTTGCAACTCATTAGGCTAGGTATCAGATGAAAGGTGGGCAATGGACGCACAATTATCATATGTGGACCCAAATGGCAATTGGATACAGAAGGAAATTTCAACCCTTCTCCCCCATAGTACCTGCCTTGATATATCCGTATAAGGCTGCCTTGGAGCAACAACACTCTGAATGAGATCCAATCAACCAAACTAAAGGGAAGGTCATTGTGAAAGCAGCCTATAAGTGACTACGTAACAAGTTGCACAATAGACAAATTAACAGTTGTAAACTTATCCGGTCCCGTCCTACTCCTAAGAGAATTAGATATTTTATGTGGTTGTTCACTTCTGGGAACCTCGTAACAAATGAGGAAAAGAAACAGCGACACCTCACCCAGGAGGATTAGTGTCCTCGGTGTAATACTTCTAGTGATAGCACCCTTCATGCACTTCGTGGACGTCCAACGTCCGAATAGGTACGGGTTCAGCTTACTGATACCAAACATATTAATGAATTATTTTCTCTTCTGTCTTGTAGGTGGATTAGTCGGACCTTCTTAAGGAGGCTAGTGCACACAGTTTTGTTGGATGGAGAGCAATATTTGCTACTACCACCTGGTTGTTGCGGAAGAGAAAGAATAAGGGGTCCATGGAGTCGAGGATACGCTCGTTGCTCCACCTAGCTCTACAATTGTCAATATGGCTATGGAGTTCCACACAGTGCATGATCGGATAAATCAGGAGCAAGGTACTGGTGGAATAGAGGAACCTATCTGGGTCGAGAGCTCCTCCTGATGGTTGATTCAAGCTCAAAACCAATGGCTCTGCTTATGGTGACCCAGGCAATGCCACGACAAGAGGCCTCATTCGTAATAGATTTGGCATATGGTTGACTAGATTCATGAATTCAATTGGCTATGAACGGCCGAAAATTTGGGCATTCTAGAAGGTATCAATTTAGCTTGAGATATGGGAATCAGGAGGCTGATTTTTTTGTTTTGAAATAAAAGTATAAAAGTATATTAAAGAGCACCAAAGGGGTGCCACCCATATACAAAATTATTGACAACATAGTAATTATTTCAGTGACATTCCCAAAATTATCCATCCTGATTATTAAGGTGGACTAGCTTATCCTTGCCAATATGCTTCAATGAGCGGATAACTCGTATAATAGAATGAATTTATGACCGAGATGAGAGATTTGCTTCTTCGTGACTAGGAAGTTAACATCTCTCGAGAGGCTAACAGATGTGTTGATCACCCAGCCCGTTAGGTACAACCACATCCATCAGAGTTATATTACACTTGATAAGGCTCCTGCAGCCCTCCAGTAATACTTGTACAAGGATGTCTGTAACACAGCTTGGGCTAAGCTAACTGCCCATATTTTTTTCCATTGCTTCATAAGAAAAAAAAAATTAGGTCCACTTATGTTTTTTTCTTTTTTGAAATAAATATTAGGTCCACTCTTGTTTAGAAATCCTTTTGAAAGTCAAGCTTTATTAAAGTAGATTCTAGCTGAAGCTTTCCTCAAAATAAGTGCGCTATGAGTATAACAAAATTGACCTCAAAACGAAAAGAATACATTGAAAGAGGCAGACATAATTTGAACGAGTTGAAAACCTGTCTGGATGTAGTTTAAACAAATATGTTGAACTCATTCAACAAGCCAATGTAATCTAGTCAACAATACAATGCGTACAAGGAACTGCACTTGCAAGCAACAAAACGTGTTCTCAACATGCTGACATTCGATGACCTTCAAGTGCTAGGCATCCAGCTCCAGCTCAATCTCATGATTATGGTTCTAGTCTCAGGTCAGTAGTAATTGATATGGCTAGGAAAGATGAGCTCAGCAAGAAAGTCGTCCTTGGATGGAATTGCAAGTGTGATGGTTATTAAAGGAGAGGTAGGTGCTCTGACGATGTCAATGATGCAGGCACCTCCCAGTAGTATGAGCCACCTCCCAACAATGGCAGGCAAACATTTGTAGCCAAGAGTGCCTGGCTAGGTTAGTGTATTTAGGGTTTGAGGGGCTATTATATTTTGGCGGCAAAGGTTGTGAAGTTTTGAGTGAGAATATTATGATAGAATGGCAATTATAAGTTAGGCTCTACTAGCAACTGATAGAGGACAAAGAGAATCTGAATAAAATACTGGGAGAAAATTTAACCAAGAAGCAAAACATAGAAATCTCGGATTTCAGTAATCAAACCACATGGTTGTATACCAATCATGTGACTAGCCAAATAAAAATGAAGCTAGGGCACCATATATCTATAAGCACCAAACTTAATCAAAATAAGAAACCTTGTAAGCCTACTAAGAGATAACGAAATAAAAAAAAAAAAAATTAACTATTTAATTGAAAATTCTATTAAGAACAACTAAATAGGATCCCAGAATCCTAAATGGGAAATAGTAAAATTATATCAATAATAAGCCCCAAGTTCCTACCTAAGCTAAATGCGCTTGTAAAACATAAACATCATAATTGCATAAATATCTCTTAACATTTAAAGGTCAAATCTAGGATATGTTTAGCATCATTAAACAAAATAAGACTTCCACCTAAATAAGAAATAAAATACTAAATTAATTAACAAACCTATTCTTAATAATTTCTTTTTTCTATAGAAAAAGAATATGCTTAATAATGTCTAAGTTAAATTATTTTTAATAAATATACATAGTATAATCACATAAGTGTGCAAATAGTGAAATATGTCAAACCAGACAATGTCCTCAAGCCACCCTCAGAAGGAGAATCTTAATCATAATTCCCCAACAAGCATAATGGTAAACTCAAACACATACGAATGAAGTTAAAAGAACCTATTAGAAGAAAACTGAGTCTATTGGGGCATCAATAGTCAGAGAAGTACTCAGAATAAGATTCAATGAAATTGACAAAAGTGCTTGAACATATTGAATGCAACAAAAATTTGCGAAAAAGATGCAGGAATCAAATAATTCAGATGGATGCTAATAGATAAATACATGCATCAATCACTAACCAAACAAGAACCAATAAAATTAAATTTTGCCGTAAGTGGGGATGGGAACACAAACCTTGGCTTTAAAATGACTTTTAGTAGCATCTTGCCACTTCAACAGGCCTTCCACCAAACTCCTCAAGTGTGCTTGCAACCCTTCAGTTTGTGATTTGGCCACTAATACTTTCAGTAGGCCTAAATTAGCCTGCATCATGAAGTGGTCAATTTCCAGTAAGATTTAGGGGAAAAACACACAGAAAAAGTTCACCAAATCAAACAAAACGAGACCATATTATTTTCAGAACAAGAACAATGCCCACAACCTGGGAGGCATGTAGAATGTTTGTCTGTAGCTATAATAGAAAGGAAGAGCTGAAAAATTATCATAATTTCTCCACTCTTCTTAAAAGAGTAGAAATATGAAAAGGAAGCAACATTTAAGTATGACCCTTGGGATGCATGTATGCTTGTGTGTGTTTACTAGCAAAAATAGATAGAAAAGAGGGGAAGAGATGAAAAAACTTTGATAATTTATTTGTGAAAAAAAAAAGCAACATTTAAGTATGACCCTTGGGATGCTGTATGCTTGTGTGTGTTTACTAGCAAAAATAGAGAGAAAAGAGGGGAAGAGATGAAAAAACTTTGATAATTTACGTGAAAAAAAAAGCAACATTTAAGTATGACCCTTGGGATGCTGTATGCTTGTGTGTGTTTACTAGCAAAAATAGAGAGAGAAGGGGGGAAGAGAGGAACAAACTTTTACAATTTCTTTGTTCTTTCTTTGGAGGAGGAGGAATGTAGAAGGAAGCAACTTGTAGGCAGTAGAAATCAGATCAGAAAATTCGTAAGCCAAGCGAGCCAAGCCTTTGACAGCAGCACTAATCATATGAGGAGTTTCTCCAGCCAAGCATCCAGCTACCTGTGGCCATAAATAAATATAAATCGTAAAAATTCATCTGAATATCATTAAAACTCAAGTATCCAAGGAAAATAGCCTGCAATAAAAAATCATAATCTGATATGGAATGTTTGAAACATCAATTAAAAAGACAAGACTACCATGTTGAAGAACTGATGCAAGTTTTCCTTATTGCCACCATTTTCCTCATCTCCATATGCATGACCAATTTGTATAAGCACGTCATATGCTCTATTTCTTGTTTTCTTATTAGCCTGCAAGAAGATAATAAGACACAAGAAATTCCAAAGCCATTACAAGTAGGAGGGAGGAAGAGAAAAGGATAAGTGATACACTAGTAGCACCGCTATCCTGCATACTGTAATGACAGTAAAGCAAGCTGCCTGCTTAAGAAAGTCCACAAGTAATACCCCGTGCATTGTTTAGCTAGGCATATTGCATTTTAATCATACACCATCTTGCTCGCATCTGTAAAATATATTGCTAGCTATACCAACAACCATAATTCAGCATAGAAATCACAAAAATTTAGTTTTCAAGGATGGATCCTTTCAAAAGTAGCACCAAAAATGCCATGTTAGGAAGCCAAGGACAACCAATTACATAGCAAAGGACATAGCTAAAATAGCAGGTAAACTTGGCAGCTATTGCCAATAGTCTCTAGCGACTCTAAAGATTCCAAAGCTACCATATAGAAACACTCCTTAAACACTGACATTACTGAGGTCACAGGATCGATATAGAAGTAGACCAAGTAATATTAATTTTAATGAAGCACAACAAAGACCTGCAGAAGAATGAAGTTCTTTACGGCATTTTAATGAATCTCCACTTGCTCTTAGCTTCATAGTCTAACCAATTTTCAATAAAACCAACAACAAATCTGCAAACTAAAGACCCCTAGCTTTGTGGTTAGTTACTTCTCTCACTCTGTATGACAGAGGGGTTTCCACACTTGCCGTAGGTTGTATACCTTTTGAAATGGGCATAAATAAATAAAAAAAGCAAGAAATCTACAAGCTCGTCAACCCAACAATAAATTAATACAAAATGATATTTTTACAAAAAAAAAAAGTCAAAAAAATTAACGCCATGTTTGAGTAGCTGTGTCGTACCTCTTTCAGAGTAAGTATTATTTCAGTTAGGAAAGAACTAAGAATCTCACACCGCCTTTGCTCCCACCCATCCTGTATAAAAAGCGTAAAAACTCAAATATGATATGACAACCATTTTTATCAAGTAAGAATCAAGAAACATAATCCTTATCTCAAAAATAGAGGGCACGGTTACAATGGAAGATGGATGAAAAGAAAAGGAAACAAATCATATTTCTATCACCTTAGAGATGGCACGCACTACTAGAAAATGTAAACAGTCAAGTCTATGGCGCTTGGCAGAAAAATGACATGATGGCAGCACTTCAATCATAAGCCCGAGCAACTCCTCAAGCTTTGGTGAAAGAAATTCATCCTTCTGATGACAAAAATCCATCAAACAGTATTATTCATCCGCAATTATACATATAGTAATGACTAACAAAGAAAACGACAATTCCCAAATTATTGTATAACATGACTCAAGGAGAACAAATGTCCAGGTAATTACTTCGACAAATGAAGCATTTGAAAGTTCCAAAATCAAAAGAAACTTCTAGTCAGTACAAGATATAAAAGTTATTTCCAAAAGTTTTCTCTCAGGTTTATTTCCAAATATTTAGAAAACATAATTGATTCAGGAAAATTTAGGATTACTTTCTGATGGAATAGTAGAAATTAACTAGAGTCACACCTGGGATCCCTAGGCATCTTACCTAAAATAATAGTTTATTTCTTCAAATAACCAAGTTATTCTGAAAACCATCCTGATAATTTATCCTCTAAAGCCTTACCTCAAAACTATAAGATACTTATTAATGTTTAAATATAAAATTCAAATTCAACTCTAATTCCAAAAATATTAAAAAAAAAATTAATTACTAAGGCAAATTAGATTATAAGTAAATCAGCTATTAAAAATTAATCTTATCCATACTATTACAATAAGATGTAGATAAAATAGAAGAAAATTTCTACTTTTTAGTTCATATTCATTCCACATCAATTCTCTCAAGGTTTGATGTAACAAACTATCCAAAACATGATATTGGAGCTTTCAAAAAATTCCAGCAAACTTTGCAAAATTTGTTGTCTTGGTCAAACACAAAAAAATAACAAAGAAACAAGTAATGGAATTACTAAAGATGAGATCTAAGAATTGAGAAATTGGTTTATCATGATACTTTTCACCTCAATCTCTGTAGGCCCGATAAGTCCTTAGTTTCCTCATTGTATTCAATATCTATAGATCTACCTTAAGGGAAAGATCTAGACTAATATCAAAACTTTTGCTTTAAGGAAGGCATGATTGGTCCTCTTGTTCCCCCATTCCATCTGGCTGATGAAAAACATTCAACATAAAGAACTATCTGTAGGTCCAATAAGTGCGTCAGTTTCCTTGTTGTATTCAATACCTATAGAACTATCTTAGGGGAAAGATCTGGACTAGTCTCGAAATTTTTGCTTTAAGGAAGACTTGATCGGTCCTCTTGCTTCTCCACTCCATTGGTATTTTCATCATATTGAACATAATCACAATAAAGGCAAGTCAGCCAAGAAAAATATGTGCCCTATATAGGAACTACATTGCATCAGATCAAATCATTGTAAGCACCATAGAAAATAGAAAAAAGACATTGTTGAGTTACTAGAGTACTCATTTCCCAGCTATGCCACTCTGCCTGGCTGTGAATGCGTTTGTAATGAAAGAATGAGTCATTCAACTGTAGAGGATGAAACAAGGTTCATATAACAATCCTGATGAATGACTAGCTTCTTAATTGTATTTCCACAATAAATTAAGACTTGAAATTTTTGATCTCCTTTCACTTTAACTACTCAGTTGTGCTTAACTATAGACAAGAAAGAGATATCAAGTCTATGCTCCGCTAACAATTGCCCATTCTGTTCCTCAAATTGACATGGCATGAGTTTATGGAAAAAGATCAGTATGGGGAGCCAAATATTCTTTGATTGCACAAAATGGATGGTGGGTAAGGGTGATTGTATTCGGTTTTGAAAGGATGATTGGGTTGGGCGGGTAGGTTAAAAGATCAATTCCTGAATATATTTGCCGTTGCTACTTCAAGAAATATGGTGGTGGAGGCGGTTTATTCAGGGGTGAGTCGTAGGAGGGAGTGGGCTGTGAATGTTACTAAAAATTTAAATGATTGGAAGATTGAAGAAAATGAAAATTTGCTTCTCATGCTATCAAACATCCAATTAGAGAATCATAATGACCAGCTTATGTTGAAAAAGAGTAAAAAAGAAGTCTTCTCCGTAAAGACATTTTATAACCACTGAACTAGAGGGGAAGACTACGAGGATGTTCACTTTCCGGCAAAACAGATTTGGAAGGCGAAGGCCCCTCCTAGAGTTGCTTTCTTTGCTTGGAAAGTGGGAAAGAATTGTATATTGACTATTGATAAGTTGATGCAGAGGGGTCTAATCATCGTTAATAGGTGTTTTTGATGTAAAAGACAGATAGAATCTTGCAACCACATTCTTCTTTAGTGCCCGATGGTTTATAACATTTGAACCATGGCGTATAGCCTATTGGGTATAAATTGGGTAATTGCGGGATCAGTTAGAGAAGAATTGTGTGCTTGGGCAAGCTTATATAAAAAGAAAACCTATTTACCACTAATCCCTCTATCTATCTTTTGACTTATTTGGAAGGAGAGAAATGCTAGAACTTTTGAGGATATTGAGAGGGAGATGAGTGATACTAGAGATAGATGATTCCATGTTTTTGGTTCCACGGTCTTGAGTCACGACATTAATAGGCTGGAAGATTTTGGGAATGTCGTTGATCACTTAATTGACTTGTAAATACCATGTATACGGGTGGTACCTCCTTAATACCTTTATGAATAATACTTTTATATATTTTTATTTCAAAAAACAAATTACCATATTCAAAATTTACCCCAAAAAAAGGACTTTAGAGTGCAAATCTGGAGAAACAGACACCAAAAACAAAGAATGTCACACCAAGAAACCTTGAACCAGTCTAAACTAAGAACTAGTCTAGTGAACTAGTCTGTGTGGACCATATAGAATATAAGTAGAGCATGAAGGTCCCAAATATACAATACAAAAACAATAAACAGTAGCATAAATAAAGGAAAAAGAAGAAAAGACCTTGAGAAGAACTGAAAGAACTCTGTATGCTTTCTTTTGGATCAAACCTTCAACATCCTGCAGTCCAGGAATACATTTTTTAAGTCACATTTGGTTAAACTTCCCATCTGCAAAAATAAGAGATAGAAAACTACTCCATAGTATGAAGTGGAAAAACTCAGTGATACATGATCACTGAAGGACCTGTAATGCAGGCTTTATCGCAGTGAATAAGACATCACTCTCTTCAGAATCCAAACCAGGTAAAAGTGAAACTGCCAGGTCAAATAGACGTGCCCTGCAGTTAGATGTAAAAGTCAAATGCCGTCAGACAACAGCAGGTTAATGGAAACTTCTAAACATCACAGATGCAAACACAAAAAGCAACATAAAGGGAAGTAAACTACCTTATAACAGATGGTGACTTTTGGTTTGACAAATCATCAATCTGCATACAATTATTTCTGGAGCTCTCAGGCTTTCCAGCCAACTGTGTAACTTCCAAAAGCTTGTGCATTGCCTTTCTGTATAAAATTTTGGTAACTTTTTTTTCCGCTATGGAAGCAAACTCACCAATCAAAGACTGTAAGCAATGCAAAAACTGTTAGCAACTTGAATAACGTTGAAATTATTACATACATGGAACTTCTTATGTGATACAACTATCTAAGCAGAAAACACTCTACAACAGGTTTTTACAAGATATGGAGAACACTGCAAAATTATTCAACAAATTCAGCCTGTCTGACACCTGTATTGGAGTAATAATTTGTCAAGTTGGTAAAATGAGTTAATATTCAAAATTAAGCCCCAGGAAAAGGGAGGGGCAAACCCCCATGATGATGAATCATTTTCTTAGTCAAATGTGTGTTCTCTGGATGCAAGGTTTGCATTTGCCCCCTGCGATGCAATACAATATTTTTTAAGCCTAACGTAGTTTTTAATTATAAAGTGCACCCTTGTAAAATTGGATTTTGTCCTTTTTGCTATATATAGGAAAAGAAACCCTAGTTGTAAGAGATGGTTCATATAACAGAAAATTTTACAAGTAGCTCTGTGCGGTAGACATATCACCATACCATGTTCAAAATCCTTTGAATTCTTTCTTTTTATATCAGCTTTACTTTAATCTGTATGAACCGTGTGGGTGATTTCTCAACATAATTCCCTCTTGGCATATCCTATCTCTCCCATTTGAAATGTTGGCATAACCAAATGAATCCAACCAATCTAAAACACAAATGGGTAATGGAGCAAATTAGCATCGACAGTAAGAAGTTTTGTGATTGTTTATGCTGACAGCTGGGTAATGGAGCTGAAATTAAATTCTGGAAGGATGAGTTTACTGGTGACTTCAAATTGAAAGATAAATTCCTGAGGATCTTTGAGATTGCTTGTGAGATGGATATCCTTGTGGAGAAGGCGTTTGAGAAGGGAAAAGGGGTGGGTGAGCAGTGTATACAGGTTAGAAGAAATTGGATGAAGAAGAGGTAGAATTCTGTAATCTGCTTCGCTGGCTTGCTGTTTTTAAGGTGGGTAACGTGAAAGACATAAGAATTTGGAAACCGGACAAGAAAAGAGGTTTTTTGGTGAAGTCCTACTACAACTTTATTGTCAAAAATGGTGAGGAGAACGTCAAGACACTGCCTTGAATAGCTTTTTCCATTTGGGAAGCTGTTAAAGAAAAAAATCTTGACCATTGATATGTTGAGAAAAAGATGTATGGTGATGGCTAATAGGTGTTAAATGTGCACGACCGAAGAAGAATCATGCAACCACTTGTTACTTCAATGTCCTATGGTCTACAGAATTTGGGAGTACATGTACGGCATTATGGGGATGAAGTGGGTCATGACGGGTAGTGTTAGTAAGGAGTTGTGGGCATCGGCTGGTTTATATAAAAAGAAAAAAGAATTATTCCTTATTGCGATTTCTATTATGTGAGTTGTTTGGAGGGAGAGGAATACTAGGACTTTTGAGGGTATTGAAACAGACACTGTAAATATTAGAGATAGATGGTTTCATACTTTTGATTCTATTTTGATTGGTTATGACATAGTAGATTGGGAAGATATTGGGACTGTCATAAATCACCTGATCGACTTATAATTTTGTGCTTTCAGGTGGTACCTCCTTGGTATCTTTGTGCATAATAATATTCTTTCTCTTTTATTTCAAAAAAAAATCTAAAACACAAATGGGGAAGAAGATGGGAGAGAAATATCTTTCATATGCTAATTTGAGAATCAGAACCCTAGGTAATGTTCCAGACAATAAGTTTAGAACCTAGGTCTATCTTCCACTTCATACATCTTAGAAGAGAAGAATTTTAGTTTACAAATGCTAACGATGTGACACTAAGATATAATGGAAGAGAGGATAATGGTATGTCGTGAGAGGGGTAATAAGGATGTCGATTCCTAACTCTGGTATGGACATTATGATTGTTCCTGAAGTAGGTACAGAACTCCCGATTGAAGAACTTGAGCCATCCGATTCCTCTCTGAAACAACTTTATTCTTCATGGGTAGTCCATAATATCCAACAGATAAATGCTGAGTTAGGTATTTCACTTAAGGGTCTGGAATAGCATGCATACTTTCTGTTTTCAGCGCTAGAAAAAAGAATGAGTGAGAATATGAATAAAGATGTTTCAGTCAAAACACCAAAAAAGAAAAAAGAAGCAGGGATAAGGGAGCTTAAGCGCCTTCATTCTTCTATAAATTATGATGGCAGACGCAAGAAGAAGCTGGAGTTAGGGGAAATTACTGTTGAATCCAATGATAGATAAGATCATTTTATGGAACGTGCGAGGGTTGAATGATAAAAAAAAAGAGGAATGTCATTATGGGTTATCTTACCCATTGGAAGCCGGCCATAATCTGCCTACAGGAAACTAAGATGGGAGTGATAGATATTTGTTTCATTAAAAGCTTGTGGTGCATCAGCAACGTTTGCTGGCTGCAATGACCGACCAAGGGGTCGGCTGGTGGCATTCTGCTCTTTTGGAATAAGGATGTTGTGGTCTGTAAAAGTTCTTTCATTGGCAATATTACTGTTTCTGCTCTATTTGCTTCGGGTTAACCGTGCTTAGAATGGTACTTTACTGGGGTTTATTGCAGGGATAATAAGGATGAAAAAGTCACTCTCTGGAAAGAACTCTTTGATTTGACATGTAGGTGGGGTTCGGTGGGTGTTGTTGAGGGTGATTTCAATATGATCCTTAACAGTTATGAACATTCTGAGAAGCATTTCAGTGAGTCTACTGCTAACGAGTTTAAAGATAACATTGAGGCATTAAATCTTTTTGATATCCCGTTGACCTGTGGTTCCTGGACTTGGAGCAACCACAGAATTACCCCAAATTTCTCCAGAATTAACAGATTTCTTCTTGATCCTTCTCTTCTGCTTAAATTATCTGGGCTTTGTCAGAAAGTTCTCCTGCGCCCAATTTCCGATCACTATCCGATCTTCTTGTCTGAAAATGGGATTCAGTGGGGTCCTGTTCCTTTCAGAATTGAAAACAAATGGTCCAGTTTGGATAGCTTCAAGGAGTTGGTTGAGAAGGTTTGGAACAATTCTTCCACTAAAGGTACAGTAAGTTTTAAAATTTCTTTCAAATTCAAGAATTTGAAAAATGAGATTAAACATTGGTCCAAAGAGGTTAGTCGTAATGAGAAGTTTGAAATCAATGACATTTTGAATGAGCTCAACAAAATTGATTGTAAAGAAGGGGATCTCGGTCTCAATTCTGATGAGTTCTGCAAAAGAGACCAACTGAAAAAAAGGTGGCTGAAAAACTGAATAGGGAAGCAATTTCCTGAAGACAAAAATCAAGAAAAAAATGGTTAAAAGATGATGACAGAAACACCAGATATTTTCAGTGTCTTGCGAATAACAGGATGAGAAATAATTATATTGAGGAATTAAGCATTGAGCGGAAGATGATCACGGAAGCAGCCAAAAAGCATTTTCACAACCTGTACACTGAAGAGTTCGTGTTGCGGCCTAAGCTGGATAATTTGCAATTTGACACTCTTGACTACATTAACAAAGAGATGCTTGAGACTGATTTTACTGAAGATGAAATTGTTGCTGCCCTTAAGAGCTGTGATGGAGATAAGGCCCCAGGCCCTGATGGTTTCAACCTTAAATTCATGCAAACTTTCTGGTATCTTTTGAAGGAGGATGTTTTTAATGTTTTTAAAGAGTTCCATAGTGATGGCGAATTTGTAAAATTTCTAAATTCCACTTTTATTGTTCTCATCCCCAAAAAGGAATGGGCAAACTGCCTATTGGTTTAATTAGCAGTCTCTACAACCTGATTTCCAAAATTCTATCTAGAAAACTATCTCATGTACTCCAAACAACGCCACTAAGAATCCAATCATTAGCAACTGCAATGAACAGCTCAAGGAAGTTTGGCCAAATACAGAGATGTATTCCAAGAAACCGAGGGTCTTCCTCCTCTAAGGGATTTTGATAGTGCTATCCCACTGGTCTAGGGCAAGCTGCCAGTCAATGTGAGGCCATACATCATACCTATTTTAAAAGAATGAAGCTGAGGGCTAGGTATCCAAAATGTTGGCTAACTTCATCTCTCCAAGCAACAACCCATATCTCTTCTCTGATATTACTGGTCAAGAAAAGGACGGTACTTGGAGGTTTTGCGTCGACTACCGTCTTAACTTTCTCATGGAAAAATACAAGTTTTCTATTTCCATAATCGATGACTTGTTAGATGACTCATGTGGAGCAATGGTGTTCTCCAAGAATGATTAAAGAGTCGGATACCACCAAATCAAAGTGAAAGAAGAAGACATTCATAAAACAGTTTTCCGAACTCATCATGGACACTATGAGTTCAAAGCGATATCCTTTGGCCTAACCAACTTTCCAAGCATGAATCATATATTCATAGTGTATTTACGGAATTTTGTGTTGGTTACTTTTGATGATTGTCTAATCTATAGTTGGAATGAACAGGACCACTTCGAGCATCTGGAAAAAGTGTTGAGCTTGTTGTGAAGCATCAATTATATGCTAAGGAGGCCAAATGTTCATTCCTCCAGCATGAAGTTTATTATTTTGGCTATATCATCTCTCATCAAGGAATCAAGATAGACCTGAAGAAAGTAGAGGTAATGTTTAACTGGCCCAACCAAATTCCATGAAGGCTTTCCAAGCTCGTCTAATCTATAGTAGCAATCAAAAGTTCATTAGAAATTACAGTGTAATCACTAAGCTTCTAACAGATCTGCTCAAGAAAGATGCTTTCAAATGGACTGCAAAGGCCACCAAAAGCCTTCCAACATCTTGAGTCAACCATGAATAGCAGCATAGTGCCCAGGCTTCCTAATTTTTGATGAACCATTCCTAGTGGAAATGAATGCCAGCGAGAAGAGAATTGGAGTCGTCCAGATGCTGGGAGATCAATCCATTGCCTGCATCAGCAACTATTCCCACAAAACAAAGCAAAGTCAATTTACGAAAGAGAGCTTATGGCAGTCTAGTACGCGGTATCCAAGCGGCATCACTACTTGGAAGGAGCACACTTTTTTTCATCAAAACTGACCGGATGAACCGTAAGTACCTCTTAGATTAGAGGGTTACTTCAGTGGTGCAAACAGAAGGGAGTGGTCAAATTACTTGGGCCCAATTACACTATTTTGTTTAAACAGGAGACCACCAACAGAGTTGTTGGTACATTGTCGACACATTTGGAGTATTATACAGAAGCTGAATTACTAGCAATAGTAACCATAGGTACACTTGCTTGGCTACCTGAAGTCATAAGCTCTAATTCTACACTCTCGGCCTTCTCGAACATATGATCATTGCACCTGGTAGTGGATCCACTTTTAGCTTAAAGAATGGAGTCCTATGCTACAAGCATCAAATTGTAATCGGCTTACCATTAATTTAAGAGACTAAATTCTATAATCGTGAAGGGGCATTCCGAAATCAAAACAATCTATGAACGCCTCATGCAGCATTTTTTTTTGGTATGGAGCCAAACAACAAATTATGCAGTGATGGTCCAAATCTATGATATCTGCCAACGTTGTCAGATAGAGAAGGTTCTCTCACGGGGTTTGTTGCAAACTTCATTTGTGCCTACACAAGCTTGGACTTACGTCTCCCTCCAACTTCATCAACCAACTTTCAATATCGGAGCTAAAGATACCATTCTTGTGATAGAACCATTTCATCAAATACGACCACTTCATATCCTTACACCACCTTTTCACTGCCCAAGAGGTAGTCAGATTGTACATGGAAACTATCCGTCGATTGCATGGAGTGTCATAGGTCCTTGTTTCTGACAGAGACAAGGTTTTCACTAGTCTCCTCTGGAAGGAGTTGATGAAATTGTTGGACACTTCACTTCGTTCAGCTCAACCTATTACCCCCAAACAAATGGTCTGATTGAGTGTCTCAACCAATGCTTAGAAATGTATTTTAGATGCATGATGCACCAATAGCCAAAAACCCGGTCCAAATGGCTAGCCTGGATAAATGGTAGTACAACTCTTCATACCACTCCAGCTTGAAAAAGTCCACTTTTCAAGCCTTATATAGTTACACCCCACCACACTTCCTGGATCCAACAAATATCCAGACACCATTGTAGGTAGCAGAAGATTATTTAGCTGAGCATGCCTGAATGAGCAAAGAGATTCATGAGAATTCGCTTATGGCAGAGCACCGCATTAAACAATATGCTAACATGCACCAAAGAGATAGGAAATTCAATGAGAATAACCTGGTGCTTCTCAAGCTCCAACCTTTTCAACAGAGTTCGGTCTGCATGGATCTGACACCAAAATTGTCCCCACATTTTCCTGCACCATTTGAGGTTAAACAAAAGGTAGGCGAGGTCGCCTACAAATTAAAGTTACCTCCTACTTGTCACATTTATCCTATTGTCCATGTTTCCAAGCTCAAGAAGTATATACCTGGTAAACAACTCCATTTCACATACCTCCCTTATTATAATCCAGATGGACTAATAGTTCTGCACCCAAAAAGAATTATGCGCAAAAAGAAGAATTCTTCAAGATGGCAAGGAGGCTGACCAAGTACTGGTTCATTGGTTTGGAACATATGATGAGGACTACACTTGGGAGGATTCCGAGTTCCTACACAGCAGTTCCCTCATCTCAACTTTTGAGACAAGGTTGCTGTTCGAGCAAGGGGTATTTTCAGTAAGCCCTTGATAGTATATCAAAGGCATAATAGCAAGACCCTTTCAGCTTTACCAAAGGAGGGATAAGACTATAAGGTAGCATGATAATAGAGCTTCCTTTGTAAACTGATGAGAAGGAGAAAAACTATGGTAAATGGATGCTATCTTTGCAAAAGAGAAGTGGAATCCTACAATCATATTCTATTATGATGCCCTTTTGTGCACAAGTTATGGACTATAATTTACGAATTATTGGGAATTAGCTTGGTCATTGCTGGTTCAGTTAGGGATGAATATTTGGGCATGGGAAGGAATTAGTAAGGGGAGGAAAACTGTGGGCATCGTTCCACTTACTTTGTTTAGGTGATTTGAAAAGAGAGAAATAATAGAGCTTTTAAAAAGATGGAAGAGGAGTTCTTAAGATTAGAGATAAATGGTTACAATATTTGGGTCTGTGTTTTTGGGTACTCTATTCACAAATTGAGGATTTTGGTAATGTTATAGACATGCGTACTAATTTGTAAATAATTTTATATATGGGTTGCAGCACCTCCTTGGTGCTTATGAATAAATATTATTCTTTTTATTTCAAAAAAAAAAATTGTAGGGTAGCGTGGGAACATTGAGAGGGATTGATTGTATTGGGTAAATTGGGTCAGGAGTTAGCCAGTAGTCAATTGTAACTGACTCTGTTAGTCGTCAGTATTAGTAGTATAAATGGACATTCTAACTAACCCTTTACAGCATTAGTAGTATAAAAATCTAATCATTCCAGAAAATTCAAATTCAAATATTCTCAACCTCTCTCTCTCTCCGTTACCCTAAATTTCTCCTGCCTCTATTGCTTCCTCTGTATGATACTAAAAAATATAAGCTGATCCAAAAAATAATAATACCAAGCTATACAATCTTACTGACTGGCAAGGTACCTGTAAGCAACCACCGTAGTCTTTTTCTGATTCCATGAAGATCCCTGACAAAACGGATAACAGTTCACGAGAATACAACCGAAGTACTTGCAAATTGCCAGTTGCAACCTGCGGGGTATAGTGGGATAGAGCACACTGCATAGCAGTACTTGCATCAACACTGGATAAAACATCTTTGCCCTCTGCAATTTCTTTATTTTGTTTAATCAGAATCTGCAAGCTGGAACATATAATTCCACGAATATCTCGTTGTTCTTGAAGGGCAGCACATAAACTTTTCTCTAGATCCTTGAAACTCTCAGCAGTATCCAATGGGTAGTTGCAAAATGAAGGCAACAACGACCATAAAGAGTAGACAAGAGCATCAGCAGACCTTGATGAGAAAATTCGTCCTTCCATCTCAAGCTAGCCAAGTTACAACATGAAAAGTAGACACAGATTTAAATTCTAATAACTACTTTTTTTTAAGATAATAACTATTCTAATAACTATCTATTCACTCATAATTATAGTATAAATGGGTGCCCAGGACTGAAACCAATTACATTATAATTATAGAGCATTTGAGGAAACAGAAACCATCACTATAGAGAATTCCTTACCTTTCGGGCTTTCTGCCTTATGATTCCAACCATACCCAAAATGACCTCTGTGAAGAAGTTCAAGCGAGCACCAACAGTATATTGCTTCAGAATTGGAAAGAGCCAGACATTTGCCTCTGAAAGATCATTAGCCTCCAACTTCAGAGGCAGAAGGCTTAGAAATGTCTCAGGCCCCATAGCACCAAGAGCTGATCCTACACATTCATGTAGCTGGAGATTTGACAAAACATATGAATAAACCAGCTGAGCAAAAGGTGAGGATACTACAAACAATCAAGAATGTGAAACATTTTACTGCAATGAGGTATTTATTTGTTTTCTTGGGAGACATTCAATGAGGTAAAGAAATAAAGCAGCCAATTTCTGATTCCTGGGCCCAGACACAACCACCATAAACAATAAACAGTACCAACCATGTGAAAATATTGAGCCCAAAATAATACCAAAAATAATTAAAATAAATTAATAATTCAAAGCATTCAGTAATATTTGTTGTTGGAAGCTAGTAGCTTCAGAAACATTGTTTACTTTTACTTCCTCTTCTTAAGGTTCAATTTTTTATTTTGCCTTTTCAATTAAGTCGTTTATGCAACCCACTACGGTTTAACCCATATAGAAATAACACATGACTAACACATAGAGACATGTCCTAAGCAATGAATGACTAACACAGAGACGTGTCCTAAACATTTACCTTGCTATTTAATTTCCAAATAATGTTATTATTAGCCAAGTCATCAATTTTTTCTTCTGATGATTCCACATAATAGTTATGTATTATTTTTGTCAAGGATTAATAAAAATGGTAAAAGAAGAACTTAATCCAAAGGTTGGAGTTTCGTTTTAAAGTTTTAAAAGTCATGTTTGTTAAAATTTCTTGTCTGGACAGGGATCGGGTCATGGCTCAACTCAGATTGAAATCCTGAAGCAACAGAACAGTCCGTTTCACAGCTTTCCTTCCTTTACAACCTGCCTTGGTTTAGGCTTTAGGGCTTCTTAGAGAACCCTGTGATCTCTAGAATTAGGTACTCTAAACCTTTGTTTATAATCATCTTTCCAATAATTTTATTGATCCAATTTGCATACATATTTATAGGGGAGCAACAGCAACTAGCATCCTCGTTCCAAGACTTAGCAGATACCTATGAAATCCTAAACTAAAATCTTAAAGTTGATAAAATCCCAAAATCCTGACCCAGTAACATCTTGTTCCTTATTAAGCCCAAACCAGAAACCTAAACCAAAAGAAACTCCAAGCTTAAGGAGAAAAACCAATTTCTTCTTCCTCTGATGGGACCCGTCCCCTGATACCTCTTTCTTCTTATTTCCAGATAATCAGTGTGTAACACAATTAGCAAAACAACAGAAAGAATAAAAGTTGGGGACCAAACTGTTATCAAGTGTTCTTCGAAATAACCCAAGAAGTATCAAGAGAGATAAGGACACAAGCTTCTTTTGAACTTCGGCCACTTGAATACTCTCTCACACTCACCCAACCGACATTATGGAGGTTAAGAGCAGAATCCAAGGGTTTCCTCAATCACTGGAACATGAAATCTCTTTTCTGGTTTATTCTGTAAAAAAGATTTGAATTGAAAATAACATTTTTCAACCTAAAAAGATAGGAAAATGGATGGTGGAGAAGGAAGACAAAACCCAATGACCACGAGTTTCTCCAGTAAAACCATAAAGAAATATAAATGCCTCAAAATTAACAAAACCCATCAGTTTGGTATGAATCATGGAGGTTATTATACATAAAATAAAAAATTTCCCCATTAAAGAACCTATAAATACCTGCTTTCTATATGGAAAATCTTCTTCTGACAAATGCTGCATATCTGACAAATTCTTAAGAGTTCCTCTCATGAAATAAGAAGAATAAGCACCTGAAAATGTCATGGTTAACACTAACAGTTAAAACAGTATTTGTCAGAAAAGACCAAAATGTAGCACTATCACAAAGATAAAAAAACTAACAGATCAATTTTATAAAGGACAATTATACCCATATCTCCCATAAATACCATCACCATAGAATAGAGAAAAGTAACTGCATCTCAGCCCCAAAGCAAAAGATAAAGGGAGCAAGTCCATGTTTGTTGTTTGTTGTTCAACCTTTTAACAAATCACCAGGCCATAAGAATTCTACTACCTTAACTCATCTATATCACAAGATACAAAGATTAAAAGCACGTCAACCAGAAACAAAAGAAAAACAAATAAGAGATTACCTAATTTATCAAAGATAGCTGAAACAACTTGAAGTGCCATGTCCCAGACAGCACTGTAGCGGTAATCAAGTAAGTTTTCAATAGTTGAGCATATTTTTTCAATGACAGTTGGCCCAGATTTTCGCTCATCCAAGTTTGTGTTTCTAATCTGATTCACTCCCTGCATAATTAAACTTTCATCAATACAAGTATCTATCAGACCCTTCAATGTTTCTGTGGCTGCAAATATGGCCTCCTCATATTCCGATGCCAAAATATCTGCCAACAAAAGGGAAGATGTTAACCGGTATATTTTTATCATTTCTTCATGAAGAAAGAAAAAATGGACATAAACCCAGATATATTATTCTCAAATGAGAAAAACTAACACCAAAATGCAATCAGACTTGTTGCAACCATGAATATCACACCTTTAAGTGCGTTGAATACCATGGGGAGCTTAACTACACATATTTGCCTATTAAGATCATGAATTCTCTTAATACCCACGTTCAGCAACCGAGCAGTGAAGGTCATGGCATCAGCCGACGATTCATTCAATGAGACAGAATAGGCAAGTGAGCACAGAAGGTCAAGCAGTGCCTCAGCTGGAACGTCTGCATTTTGGTGAAGACAAACTGCATTCAGACTATCTGTTATGCGCCTTGTCACAAGTTGCTGGCGAAGTTCCAATAGAGTTTTGAAGTACTTAAGCACAGAAGTCAAGTACTTCATTGACATCAGAGGAAGACACTCTTTAAGTGCATCTAGAACGTGGAGAACCTCTAGAGCTCCTCCATGACCTTCATTAGGATTGGCATTTGATCCACCAGCCAGTAGAAGAAACTTTTCAAATGTGTTCATGATCCCTTCACTAGCAGGGGCCAGTGACGGTGTCCCTTGGAAACTTTGTAAGACATCACGGATACAATGATGCGACTGCCTTCTCACCTATTGCGGTTGTCAATTCAATTGTTTGTATTAGATTATATCATCATCTAATGGCTAATCTCTCAATAATTATTTGAAAGACAAAGATATTCCACTCATCAAATGCCTGAACGGCCGAAAAGCACTGAATTACGACTTAATGGATTAAAGAAAAAAATTACATTCATGTAACTCATTGCTAACCTGAATTAATAAACCAAAACTTGCAAAAAGGAAAACGCGAAAATACCTTAGAACGAGAATCAGTCATGTAAACCAACAAAAGAGGGTACAACTGAGACAAGTCAGACCAATTAGCTGGATCTCTGGTGATTAATAGTTGAGACACGCATTTTAAACCTGAAACAACCGAACCAGCCGTAACCGAACTCGACCGGAGAACCCTGAGAAGGAGAACCGAGGTAAAATCTCCCTTCTTCTTCAAAATTGCAGGCGAGATTTTGGGCAGCACTAGGGAAAGAATGGTCATGAAGGACTCAATAACGTGCCCGGCAGGGTCTGGTTCGGAGGAGAGACGGTCGAGGGAGGAGCATGCAGCGCCAAAATAGGCAACTGGCGTCAGAGGGATGTTCTGGTCCTTGAGCTCCTGAGACATGGTGCCTAGCACTGCACAAAGGTGCTGGTGATCCTCTTGCGTAGAACTTGAGAACCGATCAAGGATCGACTCACAGAATTCATCCGACTGCAATTCAGTCGAGATCATTGAGCTTCCCTCCACGTCGATGCCTTCCATGCTGGACTAACACCAAACGTACTGGAAAATCCGGTAGTATCGAAGTTCAGCCTCTTTCGGCGACCAAGCTGTCCAAGTCCCTAGTGGCTCAGGCTTCGGTTACGAAACGTAGGAGCAAGAAGGAACGACTAGCGCTCGGCGATTGTCAAAGATTCGGTGGACTGTCTGAGCAATAGGTTGAGCGAACTGAAGCACTTACGCCGGAGAGAAACGTTCCGGTGGGAGATGAGCAACGCGGAAACTTGGATGAATGCGGCGCTCACCAAGAGGATACTTGTCTACACGGCTTCCATGGGGTTGGCGGCAAGGGCATGGGTGGCCGATGTGAAGGCGGAATATAAGAAACGTCGTCGTTTTCTCCTTTCTTTTTTCAATTAAATATGCGGATCAATAGTGGGCCGACAAGTTCTGCTCACTGGGAATTCAAGCATAAGATTTTATTGTTTATTTTGCTACATATTTTATTTCTTACCTTTACTTTGAATGCATTATGACCAACTTACCATTTAAGGATTGTTGCAACATATTATAAGTTGTAAAAGCAAAAAACAAAAAAACAAAAAACCAATAACCTAATCTATGATTTCTCTTACCATCTTTTGTTATATACATATATACACACAATTGTAGGTTGTTCATAACACAATTGTAATTTATAAATAAATGTACATAGGTATTAAATTTTGGAACTTTTTTTAATTTTAATTGGACTTTTCAAAAAGCGTTTTGGTACTTGGAGAGAGTAATTCCCACTCACGGATGTGGACATTATTCTTGTCTTTTAATTTTTGGTTCCTTGTAATTAAAAACTATTTGGAAGCACATCATTACAAAATTATTATGTCTGTAAGGAAGATAAAAAAAGCAATAATTAATCATTAGTACACTAAGGTAGTAGTTAAACTTCTCTATTTGAAAATTATGAGTTTGAACATTACTAAATATATATAATCTATCACTTTTTAGATGTGCTATTAGATGGCGGTAGTCAGTACACAATATTAAGTTCAATTGTTCTAAGATTTAATTTATTAGTGTGTTAGTGTTGAGTTAGGGTAACCAAATTGAACTTCATCCAATCAAGTCATTAAGAGTTTGATGAATTTATTGTAATTAAAGTCTCTTAGTTGGGGTAATTATCATGATTAACATCCAGCCTAGCCTTTCAGAACAATGATCACAAACAAATTGTTAAATGGATATATAGTGTGTTAGTGTTGGGTTATGGTAACCAAGTTGAGCTTCATCTAAGTAAGTCATTAAGATTTCAATGAATCTATTGCAAATAAGTTCTCTTAGTTGGGGGTAACCACCATGGTTAATACCCAACGTAGCCTTTCAATACAATGACAAGAAACAAATTGTTAAATAGATGTATATATGATTGTAACTATGTCTCTTAGCTATCTACAATTTTTGTTAGGTTTATAAATAGTTATATTTTAGTTGGGTAGTAAGATTTTTATATGAATCATGAAGTGTATTTGAGTCATACAATTATTCATACATTAAATCATAATTGAATTATAAAATGTGATTACATTCTTCCTTATATGGCCCAAAATGCCACCTACCGTAACATTAAATAGAAAAGAGAAAGTTGTCATTCACCACACCCTTAATCTTAACCATTTGGTGAACATTAACAACAAACTCTTTTTGGTCTCAACATCATCTCTTGACCAACCTCATGACATAAAAAGATGGTAATATGCCAAAAACAAAAGGTAGCCAACACAACTTTCAGAACTCGATCTAATAATATTAACACTATAGCATTATAATATTCCCCATTTTA